CTAACCAGCTAGCAAAATTTTTTGAGTGCGGCGCGACGTGGCAAGTAAATTCGTATTATGTAAGTGAGATGGGCCCAAAGAAAGAAAAAAATAAAGTTCATTAACAAATATAACTAATAAACCAAACATATATATATTTGTATATATGTAGAATATATATTTAAAAAATAAAAGAACAAGAAGAAGCAGTCAAAAACCGTGTGCTATAAATAAACACAACTAAATTTAAATCAAAACGGAATCGATAAACTCTTTGACTAAAAGTTCAAAAAATCTCACAATTTTCCAATAAATATTAACCAAAATTTAAACACGCAAATTGAATTTTTCTATTTTATTTTTAATATAACCAACAAAAAAGAAAACAAGCAAAAAAAAAAAATTGAAATCAAATTGTGCAAAAATAAACGCAAAAAAAAAACTTTTTTTTTTTTTGGGCAAAGAAATTGAAGTGGTTAAAAATAGTTCTGTGCGCACGTTTAAGTGTGCGTGTGAGTGACTGTGTATGAGTGTGAATTAGCTGGCTCCCAGGGCAGCTGCCTTAAGCAGCTGCCAACAGAACAGCGGGACGAGGAACAGGTGGAAAATGCGTTGGTCAAGATGCAAAATATATAATATATATAAAAGGTGCAAATGCACCGCAACTAAATTATAGACGAATACTTAAAACATATTAATATATAAATAATTAATAAATAATTAAAAACCTTTTAACTGAATTAAATTGTTTAAAAAACAAGTTAACTTTGAAGTGACTTACATAAAATTTAAGTATTATCAAGAATATCAATGGCAAACTAAAGACAAGAAGGCAAAATTAAATGCAACCGGAATATAACAAATATATAATATATAAATTTTAAAAAAGAGTAAGGTCAAAATTAGTTTGACAAAACGGAAAAATTAATATTTTCATATTCATATTGGGATCTTGTCTTTCTTCCAATTCAAAAAAATTACTTATCTTATTGGATAATCTTAAAATATCTCATAATGCCTGCCCATATCTATCGTATATATATATCTATGCAGACTGCATATAAGCAAAAAAATAAAAAATAAACCAAAAACGTTTCGAAAACTCGTGTGCAGTATATTTCCTATTTCGAAACTTTCAACATGATCTATATCTGTCGTGCAACAAGCGTCAATGAATTTGCTATGCTCTATATGCGGTCTCTTTTTCTCTCTGTAATCTCTCTCCTATTTTTATAAAAGATTCTTTTATTTTGATTTGAGATTTCTCTTTATTTTTATTCTTTCCATATTCAACTTATAGAGAGAGGGAATGTATCTCTCTCTATTTCTCTTGATCGGTTTTCTCTCTGCCTTTACTATTTGCTCTCTCTCTATCTCTCGTTTTCCTTGTTGCTCTTTTTATCTCTCTCTATCAAATTCATTTCCACTTAGGCTAGCTGTCAGCTCGATAATTGAGTCACACGAATTATTTCCTTTTGCTTATTTCGCAGCGTTTCATAAACAAAATAAAATATGAAACATTAATGTATGACGGCGTGCATTAATACCCTGTAAATCTATAATAATATATTCTTTAGATAAATATTTAAATTAATTTTTTTTATTTTCATGTATTTACTTTAAAATTTTTCAAATCCTTTTTGAGAGAAAGCATTGCCTACTTCTTGGCGCTTTAGGGTTTTAAATAAATAATCAAATAAAGGCAAGCTCTTGTGATTTCCTTATTTTTTTTTCTTAATAATTATGATATATTTCTTAAAATA